GGGCAAATTGCGGTCAACCGCTGGGATAACGAATGGCTTTTTTCCCGCTGGGAAAGCTGGAATGGGAAATGGAAAAATTAAAAAATCAAATTGTAATTTACAGCCGTCGGGGGTGATGCTATACATGCCAATTCGGCGGGGGAAGGGAACTTAATTTAAAGCAGCTTTTCCTCCCCCAAAAAGAGCGCAAGTGCTTAATTCCAAGGTGGACCTGGTGGTCCTGGTGCAAAAGATCCATCCATCAATTTATTCATTACAGGGAAATTATGTCGCATTTATATGCACCCCGCCAAGTGACAACCCCCCGGAAAATCACCGCACAATAAAAATAATAATAAAAGGACATCCGCGACGAGGGGGTTGCTTTCGGAATCCTGGTTCCTGGGCATCAAATTTGAATTTCATATGCTGCCCGCCTTGATTGAAGTCGGCTAATAAAGTGCCCGAAAAGGGAAAATCGGGTGAAATGGAATGGATTTCCCGCTGCGTTAAGCATCCATTTAGGGGGTGCTGAGGGCAAAGGGGGGCTAAACTGCGACCCGGCGACCATTTGATTTATTTTATTCCCCTTTGCCCGCTGTTAATGTTTTAATAAGATAGATTTTATTGCCGCCCCCGTGTGCGTGGGTGGATTTGGCCCTGCTGCGGCGTCAAAGGGTTAATAAGTTGCGCTCCAGCTGTTTTAGCAACTCCATTATTGTCTCCATTTCGGGATGGCTTTCAATTTGATTCCAAATTGGAAGACCTCATTGGAAATTTAAGAGTTTCGGGGAGTTTCTGCGAGTCCTATCTGCACTCGCTGTATCGCCATACACACACTCGCATAATTAACTTCTCGGCGTAATTAATGCCGAGCCTAATTATTGTTAATCAAGCTCAGGCCGTCAACCAGGCAGAGAAGCCCAAACAGGCCGCATAATGGATGAGCCGCAATTAAAATCAACTTCCTATATATATATTTCCATGGGTTGTGGGGGAAGAACAATGATAATAGCAGCGTGAGTCACTCGGAAAAAAGTATTGTTAAATAACATGAAAAATAAAATTGAGTACTTTAAAAAATGTTAGATTTTCATAAATATTTAATTGATACTTCGATACCCATGTTAAAAATTAAATACTATTTCAATTACTTACCATATTCTAGGGTAACTGTACTAATGTTAGTATTTCATTTGATTTTATTTGATTTAAAATTTAATCTAAGTTTTAAAATAGAATGAAAATAAGAACTCATCAATAATTGATATTTTGATATAAAAATAGACTACCAATTGTATTATTGGGTACAACAGTTTGGTTAAGGGTTATTTTTTAACGTGTTTTCTTCCATCCATCTCAAGACCCATTCGCGATTCTCTCATTTCTGCCAAAGAAGCGCCATCTTGAAACTGTCTTAAGACACGACGCATGCTGTCAGCCATTATTTGCCTATCCCACCCCCTTGGAACCCCAAGCCTCTTGTAGCCCCGACCATTCGGAACCCCTTACCATTCCATATAGAGACAATCAGAGAACCAGTCGAGCAACCAGGCAAGTTCTTCTGCCTTTCACTTGAGACCCCGCCTCCTGGCTGATTCCCCATCATTTACTTTGTCAGTGTGCGGCAGCTTCATCATTATTATTGCTGGCCCGCTTCTTTGTTTGCAACATACAAACCCATCATCATCGCAGTCATCATCATCGTCTTCATCAGGGTCTCCATCTTGGCTGCTGTATTTTTCCCTTAGGTACTTGTCTTTCTTAACTCATTGCGTTGGCAATAAATCTTCGACGCTCTTATCTGCCAGGCACACAGTTTGGGTTCGGATTTACCCCATCCCATTGCCTAGTTTTCCCCATTAACTGACTTTCACTTGGCCATATGTCAGCTCTTTTTCCCCGCCTTGAAGGATCTGTAGCTGTATCTACATCTATGGCACCTGCTTAGACAAAGGGTTTTGGGCTTAATGAGTCGCCGACGATTTAAATTTCAATTCCTGAGCCGCTTTTACTGCAGCAGCTTTGGGCCTCATTAAAATTCCGCCTGAAATATTAACTAAGAAAAGCAAAGTAATTGTTTCGTCCGCCCAATAAACAAGCCCCAAAAACGAAGATAATAATACAGAAGTGTCCCAGCTGTCGGTTGACCCCCATTTATGGCCAAAAACAAAATGATGGCCATAAAACTCGTCTCATATTTGACTGGCCTTTATTTATTCATTTCAAATTTACTTGTTGGCCATTTTATGATGCCAAATTTTGACCTAAAAATCATAAAAATTGTAATCAAAATGTTTGCCCAGTTTATGGCCGACCAGCAGAAGAAGGTCAGGAGGTGGTGAATTCTAATAACGTCTAAACGCGGGTCCGGCAAAAGGAAAAGTCCGGAAGGAAAAAGGAAAAGAGGTCCGGGGCTCAACGCTTATGGCTTTTTAATGGTGCCGTGTGTCGGTTTTGTGGCAAATAAAATGGCGCACATTAAAAGCGGGCCAGAAGGAGCAGCAGCCCGCCAATTGCAGTGGCTCCCGCCCCCTGAACCCCGACCCCCGGGCATCTGGTTTCATATTGGGGTCATGCATGGCAGCCCCGGGTAAATAAAAAATACATAAAAATATTTTACGAGCCTCGCGACTCGGGCCCCGAGTCCGGGAATAGAAGGAATAGACAGATGGAGCCCAAGGAGCTGAAAATTATAGGATAGTCCCCCGAACAGAGGGGACTTCGCTGCAAGATTGCAATAAAAATGGCGGCAAATAAAATTGACAATATTGTCATGCGCGCGATTTGATTTTGATGCCAGTGGGGATTTGCAATCCTTGGACTTGACAACAAAATGAGGCAGTTTTAATTTACTTAAAAGTTGGGCAAATCAGGCTTGACAAAAGTGTTCAAATTAAATAGTCAAGAAATCATAAATGAGAAATAGTTCATCAGGAAATTATTAATATTGTTTTGGATTGTCTTACATTTTACGTGGTTTTTTCTAAAGATACTAGATTTTTACAGTAAAATCCAAGACACACAGCCTATAAATACTGGGTAATAAACGCCATTTGGGCTGTGCAAAACCCTATAGTTTAATTCCATTTAATATACTTTGTTGCGAGTCTTTACTTTTGTTTTATCTGCGATACTAACTTTTTATAGAGCAGTCCTGGTGTTGATAAAATGCTTTGGAAGTGGTGCGCAAAAGCCGTCGGCGAAACACTAAAAGGTTTTCCCTTTATCAGTGTACCCCATTCGAGGTCTCCCCCTACCATTCTAAAACCCCACCCACTCCTATATCTTCGAGAGTGTGGAGCCAATGATTATTCCGGGTTTTGTCATTTCAATTCGCATTATCCTTTGCACTTATTTTACTACTTTGTGCGCTACTGCTTCTGTTTTCCCCGCCCTTTTCCGCTTTTCCTTTTCCCAACTGTAACTGTAATTGTGGGCTGGAGTGGGTGGCAGGGAAAGGAAAAGGGGGTGTGTTTGTGTAATGGCGGGTTGCGGGTGTCCTTCCCCTCCCCCGCCCCTCATTGTCCTGTCGAGTAACTCGTATTGTCATTGTGCAAATAAAATATGTCACGAATCGCCCACTCCCCGCACGTTGCTTTTTGGGTCCACCCCAAAAAACCGAAACACGCCCCTGCTGAGTGTGTGTGTGTATCTAACCTTTGTGCCCATTGTAGTCCTTTGTTCAGGACTCACAGGACTCACAATGAGAGCAAATGTTTTGGTTGCTTACGAGCATCAAGAAATGAGAATCGCTTTTATATAAACTTGGCTGGCTGAAAATGGGCGGTTGATGTGGTTTAAAGGAGTCAGCCCGCCTTGATTCTGCTTCGTGCACTGAAGGAAAATATTGGGAAACGTTTCTGTAATATATAAAGAGTTATTGGAAATATTGGAAGTATGATGAAGTAACTTTTTTACATTTTATATAGCCTAGATTCGCTTTCTAAAAGTCAATAAAAATCGAAACTTTATCACCCTTTATAGTTCGTAACTATCGTTCATAATCTAAGTGATCCAATTTAATTGCTCCTGCATTTTATGGCAGGAAAGCCCTTGCCTTTTTCCCGTTCTCCAAAATTCATTCAAACGCTTTACACTTGACAAGCCAGGGAAATAAACAAACTACACAGGAAAGCCAATGCCAAAGCCAAATCCAAATCCATGATTTCAGCTGCCAAATCCTTTTCAAAGCTGCAGCCAGGTGAAAAATAACGAAATATTGTATTTTTCATACATTTTTATCAAATATAAAAACACACTCCTGTGCGGGTTGTATCTGTATGCTCGCATATGCGGAGGGCGAACCACCAACTACACAAGTTTATAAAAGACACTCGTCCGCCCTCCCTTTTTGTGTCTTTGTGTTGAGTGCTTTTTGGCTAAATGCGAAATCGATTGGAAAACAATTTCCAATTTTTAAAGAATTATCGCCGCCATATTCGCGCATGCTGCACTAAATCACACATAAGCAACCTCTAAATCTGCTACCCAGGACCCCGAACCCAATCCCCAACCCCGAGCACACACATGGCAACCTTTTCGCAAAGCTTTTCCTTTTTGGCTCGTTTATTTCCTTTTTATTTTCCCTTTTCCCGGCTAGCAGCCACCAGCTACCAGTTACCAGCTCCCAGCAATATTTTCCATTTCATTTTCTGCGCGGTTGGCAGCGCGTTTAGCTTTGGCTGCATGCCTGACTGACTTTCAGTTATACCAAAAGAATATACATTTATATCTGCACACAGAAAACACACAGCAGGGGTTAAGGAATACAATCAGAAATGAGAAATTGTTAACAAATCGTAAGAGCTGATTTCAAGATATTAAACTTAAGCAATGAAATCGAGATTTAAAACACATATATACCCCTATTTTATAAGAAAAATGTATCTAAATGCCTTATTTCATGCGATACTAAACAGTTCGTAAAATATTATTTTTTATAAATTAGAATTTCTCATTTTTGAATTTTCATGATTACTTTTATTTATCGATTAAAAGCAGAATGTTTTTATAAAAAATAAATTTCCCTAACCCATGCTCATAAGACTTTCCTGAATTATTTTTCGCTGCTCTCTGCATGTCCTTGGGTGTACCCTTATGGGTGTTATCTCCACCGCAATAGCAACTGAATTCCGGGAGAAAGGAGCTGGGGTTCCATGGGGGCTGGGGACTGACGCAACCCGCAGCCATTTAGTTTTATGTGCCCGTTCGGTTGGGTTATTGCACCTTTGACTCGGCTCCATCGCCATCTAAATTCGAGCTCCACCTTCGACTGGAGGTGTCACCCTGGAGGGCACACGGCCACAAAGCATTTCGCATGTGAGGGCCATTTATTATTATTTGCTTTCGGCAAATGTGAACCCAAACCTCGGCCGCAAGTATTTCCTAATCAGGTTTTAACTACTAATAGGATTTCCGAGGTGGCGAATCGTAATTTACATGGCTTTGGCCGGGATACCCGAAGAATTGAATTGGAATCCAGAGCAAAGCTGCCGCTAATGTATTGCAGATTATGGCAAATCCCTCGGGCACTTCCCGTCCTTATCCCCAAAGTCCTGGTTCTCACACGTGTCCTAGCACTGAGTGGATCCGATGGAGACCCCGCTCAGGTCCCTGAAGCGCCTGAACCGCTCGACCCTCCGCTGGCGGAGGTAGCGCCGCACCTCGAAGCCCACGTTGCACACCACCAGGCCCATCATGATGGCGGTGATGATCGCGGCGAAGATCAGCAGGAACCAGTGGAAGTAGCAGCTCATGGTCACCGGCCTGCGCAGCCAGGCGGTCCAGGATGCGGTGCACTGCTCCTGGACACAGCGCCCGCGGAGGTTCCTCACACACCCCTTGGCACAGCACCCGTTGGGGCTGAACCTGCCGCAGGCCGTGAGCTTCGCGAGGGGGTGCGAGCAGTTGACCGCCTCGAACTCCCCCGAAATCCCCAGGACGAACTGGGCCAACAGGCAGCCCAGGGTCAGCAGATGGACCAACATTTTGCACTCTTGCAAATCACAGGTTGTAAGTCATGTTTTAAACTCTAGAGAATTTTGAAAATAGTCTCGAAACTGTAGGGTTAAGCAGGGCTTGCTGTAATTACATAAAAATGACTTGGGTTTTCCAAAAATATTTGATTTTTCCTTAAGAAAACATGTTGCACTTTCAATTTAATCTTTGCTTGGTTTTAATATAATATATTTTTCAATTATTATTATTTTTTATATAATATAATATAATATTAATATAATTTTCAAAACACAATATAGCCAAAAGAAATATTAATAATTATCTTTAAAATTTTAAAATTCACTCAAAAAAGAGGTATTTTCTTAAATAATTACATGATTTTCACCATTAGCTAACTCTTTTTCGCTGTTTCTTGCCTTCAAAATAATAAGATTTATTTTACAAAGTTTGGATTAATAATTAACTTTAATGTCGTAAGATTTACTGAATAATAGAATCAAATCTTCAAGTTAACACATGTTTTTTACCCCTCGCTCACTCTTTTTCGCTGTTGCTGGACTCCAAGAAGACCCTAGCTGTTATGGCCTTCTCCTGCCCCTCAATGGCCTCCTGTTCCTGCTCCTGCGGATCCTTCGGCGGAATATACTCCGGCGGATTCTGCTCCCGGGGACTCGGGATGAAGGGGGCATGTGGCCAGACGGAGGGCTTCGCCTGAAGCAGCCAGAGTTCGTCGAGCTGTTGTTGGAGGTACTCAACCGCCTTCTGATGGCGATTGGCCATGAAGTAGGAGCATCCCAGCCAAACACAGGTGAGCACCACCACGCTGGAGAGGATCAGCACCTTGGTGGAAAGGGCTTCCAGTGGGGTGGAGGATTTTTCGGAGATTGGCCCCTGGAATGCCAGTGATTCCCCAAACAGCAAGACCAGCAGTAATTTCAAAGCGAATATGTGTTCCATTGCGCGGAATTTGTTAAACTCAAGCTGTTTCCATCGAGGGAGCCGGCTTTATAGAGCCCACTTATCACGGAAATGTTCCCTTGGGACACAAAAACACTAATCACCCATTAGGAACCCTTGGAAGTTTAAGGAAAAACATAAAAACAATTCATTGATAAATATTCAGAACAATTAATGCATAACTGTTTTGGGACTTATGACTTTACTGAAATTAAATTAGCCTTGCCTATGAAGCAATATTAAATATATAATTAAATTAAAATTTATTAATTAACATTAAATAAGAAGTTAAAACCATTTTCATTTATATTAATGTTACATCAAGAATGAATTTCAGAATTTTTAGCTTTATAACCATCTAAGCCCATCAAAAAGTCGTCTCAGAATTATTTCCAAGCTCCATTTCTGCGTTGTTATAACTTTCAGTTGATTATTGAATTCCGCAGGGCTTAATAATTGTGGCTGCATTTCCGGCAGGAGGGGCATGGCGTCTGGATCTTGATTGTAAGTGCCACATCACCTCGCAATTCACTCGAAATCGAGCTCAAAGAGACCGTAAACCAAATCGGCATAACAAAGTGATTCTAATGTAATTCGTGATTTTGCATAATTATAAAGTTAATAATTAAAATGGCTGCGTGCACAAAACCGAAATGAAAACATTAAAATTTAATGTTGCTTTCGGTCTGTGCAGGTGTGCTGGTTATTTGGCATTTACAGGGTGGATTTACGAGGAGGGTCCCTCTATAGGCAAATAACTAATGCGTAAATATTAGCAAGCCCACAAAATCCGCCCCTCGGCCTCCCCCATAAATTTGAGACACATATGCAGTGCGTTTGTAATAAGCAATCAATTATTATTATTGAATTTCGGGCATGGTCAGGTGCAAAAAGCGGGGGCGGTGGCGGTGGAAGTGGGCGTGGCAGCTGGTCAACGCCACTAATGCGTCTAATGAGAATTTAAGCACACTTCAACCCTCTCGGTGCGATTTGGACCCAACCCCCTCGGAATTTCGGAATTTTGCGTGGATTTGCACAGCACACAAATAACCCCAAGTACAGTTGTGCTCGGTGCGAATGCAAATGCAAATACAATTACATTCCGAGCCCATTTAGCGGCATTTCGGTTTTGCTTTCATATATTTTCCAATTTGTTAGTCGAAACGGCACAAATCTGTGATTTGTGGTCAGGGTCGGGATTTTTACAGAGTGGGTGGCTAAAATACCTTTTTAGGGAGATGTTGCGAAAATATACTTTATAATCTAAATATTTTTACACAAAAGATCTATAATAATAAAATATTTAAGTGTTTAGCTTATAAAGTAGTTTAGATTTTATCACTTTTTTAGATATGAACTTATAGCAATCATTTAAAAAAATAGATCACTTGGAAATTTCCTGTGGCATCGAATGGTAAGATCTAAGCAAAATAGGAAATTTTATTCTTAGAAAATGTATTTTATAAAATATCCAAAATCATTATCGTTTTTAAGCCCCATCAAAAGTCCCAAACAGAATAGACCCCTTCTAGCTTTCACTATAAGTGGATTCCAAAACCCCCGCAAATTCTACACCACTTAAATGGTGTTCGGTTCATGTGACCCTGCTAAACCGACATCGTTAATGATAATTTAATTATTGCCCGGCATTTCGGGCTTTGGCGACTTACGCACTCCTGCGAACGAGAATCCTGCGGCCTGGCTAATTGCAGCAAATCTGCTTTGGGTCAGTTAGTCGTCCTTATTAACTGATAATTGCAATCACCTGGCTTTGGCCACCAGGTGGGCAGAAGGCGAGTGGCCCTCGGAGGTGGGCGCATAAAACATAAAGCGGGCAAAGCCGCGAATATCGCCATCCATTTCGAAGATACGAGCTGCAAACAGTGACAGTTCCGAAACGCGATAGGAACTTAACTCGCAAACGGATTCAGATGGGGCATTGTAATAATAAAACAAAAGTGTCAGCCAAAGATATCGCAGGATATGCGCAATCCATATTGAAAATTGATTTAAATTTTTAATAGGCATCAGGCAGACGCTTTGATAAAAGTGCCAGCACGCGGAATCGCACAATCGCGGGCTTACCTCGCCGGAAGATATATCCGAATCCATATCCGGGGATCCGCAGATCCGCTCTCCTGACGGGGGCTCTAGTTAAATATGGAAACAATATCGCATCGAAATGCCAACTGAAATCGGCTGAAACTTGCAAGTGAATGCCGAACGCGATATGAATATCTATATGGCTATATGGCGAAATGGCATCCTGCATGCCTGCATTTATATTTGTTTTCGGAGCTGTCAAATCATATTTTAATCTGTTTTGATTGCTGACTTTTGTGCGAGGGATTTGGCTGCAGCCCGACTGCTGCAGCTGCCACAGCGGAAATGCAGCGGAAAATATTGCATTTTATTTTATTTATGCAGAAAAAAGGCGGCGAATTTATATGGAAAGCTCGTGCTCTTTTCCCGCCGCCCCCCAGCCTCCGATTTTCCGCATTTTCCGCCTGTGACTCCAGTGGCTGTGTTGTGTGCGTTTTCCATTTGTTTCATTTGATATGCCAGAGTTAAGCAGTAAAATCCACTTTTTACGAGTTGTCCCCGGATTCCTCTGCCGGCCACTCCCCCTCCACCCCAACGCCCCTTTTCGGGAGCTTTGTGTTTCTCATACGAGCGTAAGAAAAACCAGCGGCACGCATTCAGTCGCTGAAATTTGTCAATAAAATATAGAAGGCTAGAGGTGAGCAAGAAGTCGAAAGATTTATTAAATCATTGTACAAAAAACTAAAGGAGAAAATAAAATATTCAAAAATAAACTTGATCTTTGGTCATGAAATTCCATAACCGTAAGGTATATCAAGCTTTACTTAGGATACTACACTACGAGCAACATCCATAAGTAGAGTTCCTTTAAGTTTCATACCTAGCTTATCAAAAGTGTTATAAAGTTTCCGTGACAGAAATCTATTTCTATCCATTTTCCCACCAATAATCTTATAAATGTCTCGTATTTTGACAAGCAATCTAAAAACTACTTCAATGATAGGGGCTAAAGATTGATATTTTTGGAATACAAGAAAATAATATATATGATATGAAACCTACATAAACACGAAATGAGATTAGTTAGTCAATATTAAAGGACGCATTTTAGCGAAGGTTTCCTTTGGATAATTTTCCCTGTTCACAGTTCTGTATCTTGTAATCGCAGGCAGTGGATATCATCACTAGCAGGTCCTTTCTTCCCGTCTCGGTCTTCCCCAAAGATCCCCGCTTTCCACGTGGCTTTGGCAGTGACTTAAATACACATAACCATAGATGCCCTCGTCCTTTTCCCGCTCCTTTTCCTCGTCTAGATTGTCAACATATTAGCTTCAAATTGCTAAAGTTCTGCGACTTTTGCCGTTGCCTCATTTCCTCACGCACGCACATTGCTGCCCGGCTATGCCCCTCTCTTTCTACCCACATGCTGCCTCTCTTTCTGGCGCACAATACCCGTCTCTTTCTCTCCCAAAGCCTGTGGGCATCGCTGTTTAATGTGGTGTTGCCAACTATTTTAGCCAAAAGCTCACACGGGTTGCGCGGCCGGGTGATTTGCTTGCTTAGCTTAACGTGGCCCGGAATTTCAGGGGGCGGAAGACAGGGGGCGGGGCGGGGCTCTCCTCCGGCCATTTAGTCCGTAGTCCAACCATCCGGCTGTCCACTCCCATCTCCGGCGGAATGCTTTCGCTTTTGGCGTTGAAGCGTTCGGTTGACATTCGTGAAATCTCTTAAAATCCCGAAGGTCGTTGCCAGGGATTTTCTCAGATTTTGCTAGATTTAAATGAATTAGTTGCTTTGGCCGGGCTGGCCGATTGATTTTCTGACCTTTTCCGTTTTTTTCCGGGCCGCAAGGGGGGTTTTTCCGCCGAGTGAGTAGGCCAAATGCAATTGGGCTTAAGAGCAATTGCAGCCATGACTCATCATTAGCTGCAGTGGACCCCTGGATCCCCGAAACCCCATAGCTCGCCCCCCGAAATGAGTACAAATGGGGGTTCCCCCGGCAAAATAATATGGATGAGGCCAAATTAGACACGCGGGGAAATGGAGAAAAATGTCCACTGCATTCTGCAAGTAATTAAAATATGAGAAAACTGTTTCAGCTGCCCCATAAAATATTCCGGAGTCAACAAAGGAGGCGAAGCCTCCTGCATCTGCATTTTACGGTTTTCCGGAGTGTGGAGATGGAGATGGAGGCCGCTCCTTTGCCGGTTGGTCAGGCTGGCGGGCTTAAAAAAGCATCAAATTTCATATTCAAAATGGCACTTTACATGTTCAGCATAATTTATAAATGCACGCAGCGCCGGAAGAGCAGAGACACCAGAGCCCGGCTACAACAAACATGAAATGTGCTGCGGTGGCAATATTTTTGAAGCAACATTGTCGACACTCCGGAAAAGGGGATTCGGCAGGGGGACCGGGCGGGAACGGGTAAAGGAGGCGGGGCAGGAGCAGGACATCGATGGCAGCATTGCTGTTGTCATTCGTCGCCTCTTTCTGGTTAAGGGTACTACGAATGTGGGGTCCAGGTTGTTGTTCCTTTCTTCGGAAGCCAAATCTAAAATTGCGGAAAAACTGAGAGAAGATTTTGGGATATCTAATAATCGACCAATTTTTTAAGTGGTTACATCACATTTTTTTAGCGAAAAATGGTCAAAAAATAATGTTTTTAGGGTTGAATGCCAATCGATTGGAAATTTTATAACGAGTTCAACGCGGTATGACATTCCATATTTGGACAATATTTATCGTTGTTTCGACCAAAATTTTGATATTTTTTGATGGAAAATTGGGATTTAATATTTGTGCCAAAAAGAGGAACTTTTTGGTGTGATTTTTTGCCGTCATTTCTATAAAAACAGTGCCTGAGCAATAAGAATAATTGTTTTGATCAGCTAACAACCTAAGCTAACGATATGCATCACTTCTCAGTAGATTTTGGGAAATCTAGATTTTGGTCAATTTTTGATTTTTTCATAAGGGGTTCGATCA